CAGTTTGTCTGGCCTATGGCAAAAGTTGAGTCCCCCTGACCCCTCACAGTGGCATCATATCTAGTGCCTCTAAGCCAAATGCTTTTAAAAAGCAGAAATCCAAGTTGGGTCAGACCCCTGGAAAGCAGTTTCCTGGAGCACTTCTCTCCAGAGTGAGACTTTCCACGGAAATGTCTAGGCAACTGAAATCGAGAACCAAGAAAGCAGTCATGAGTAGAAAATGACTGGGAGCCATTTATTTGTGCAAGAGTTGTGTGTTTTGTTGAAGGTTTATTTACCACCTAAGACTGTCTTAAACCTGCTGCCTCTAAGTTTGGGAACTAAAGAGCTCAGCCCATAACAAACTGTGGTGTTGTTATGGCTGACTTTAGTCATCCAATCCTATGCAATCTGGTAAACTTTAGGAAGGATTATAATTTCATTTTTTTTGACTCTGGTATCCTTTTTAGATGATGAAAGTTGTTCAAGTTTATGCAGAAACACAAGAGATTAATTTGAAGGTAAGCGTTTCAGACCATGCACACTTGGTGAAGGGATGTGCATTTCCAACAGGTGAATATTCCTGTCTTCTTTCATCCACAGGCTGATTCAGAAGTAGCACAGGCAGGGAAGGCAGTTGCATTATACTTTGAAGATAAACTTTCAGAGATCTACCCAGACAGGACCTTCCAGCCTTTGCCTGAATTTGAGCAGGAAGAGGATGATGGTGAAATAACTGAGGACTCCGATGAAGATTTTATACAACCACGTAGAAAACGCCTAAAATCAGATGAGAGACCAGTGCATATAAAGTAATCTAATGATATGGACCTGAAATTTATTGTAAAAACTGTTATTTAAGTGTTCCTGGAATATTATCATGCCTGCAGTGGCCATCTTGAAGAAGCTGATAGCTTTTTAAACAGTATTAGATTACAAAAAACACTTGTACAGAAAAACATTCGCATCAAAAGGGGAAAAAAACTGTATTGTAAATTTTTGGTGGTTTGTATTTTTTTTTTTTCCCTTGATCTTTTCTTTTCCTGATGGAGGGGACACACTCATCCTGGTCTCACAGATAGAGGTGGAGGAAATGTTGAAGAGAAGCAGATTTGATAAGAGATGTTCCATGTACAGCTGAGACTGTGTAGGAGAACGTTCTGCAGGACTGGACCAATACAGTGACTGTATCTTGCATTACACTGCAGTGTAAACTGTGAGCAAAGTCCCTGAAATCCCCTCTCTGTGTGAACTCAAGTGTGTGTTGGTCATTGCTTTGGTCATCTCATTGCAGCAGAGCTGTGAATAACTGGTCTTCTGTGTCGATCAATTACTGACATTTTACTTTCTTTACTCCATTTTATGTGTAGCAAAAGGAAAAAGGAAAATATCATTAAACTGTTCTGAGTTGGCAAGTGCAGGAACGTGAGTTTTTGGCAGGCAGAAGGAGCTAAGCTGGTGGCAACAATCTCTTTCAGTAGGATGAGGTGTATTTATTAAAATCCTGTACCCAGAACATTTTAATGGAGTTCATGGCAGAAGTCTCAGCGTTGTCATCTGTCCCTGATCCCCCTGATGAGGCAGAATGTTCTTTCCAGTATTCATTCTCTAGTTTCTGTACTTAAAATATAGACTGAAGAGGTAATAACTGGTTGGGGTGTTTTTCCAGTCTTCCTAAATATCAGTTTCTAATAGACCACTCGGCAAACAATAACATATTAACTACCAAATGTGTAAAATTTCCTGTATTCACTTTGTCTTATTTGTAAATAGTGAATTGAGATTTCTTGCAGATCAGCAACATTTGCTGAACTGTTTTTAAGCTAATATGTATTCTTATTGATTGTTCCTATCAAGAAAAGATTTGTAATATATGCTATTTCTAACATTGCATTCATTTTGAGGTTCTGTCTTATTTTTCTTAGAGTTACTTCTCAGATCTTTTCTTCAGAAGCAGCTTGTGAGCAAAATGTCCAGAAGGATTGGAATCAGTCTGAGTTTGGGTTATCTGTCCACCCACTTGCACAGACCAGGATTTGGCTTTGAGTGGTTTCTGGTCAAACAGTGAAAACAGAACAATTTCCCAAATTCCCTCAGTGAGCCTTGAGGCACCTCTGCTGTGCCTTCCCCTTGGACACTGCCTTCATCCCTGTGAAATCAGGGTCAGCACAAGGATTTATAGTTTGAATAGTTGTTTTCTTTCCTGACAGAAGTCAATACTAGAAATAATGAATGTCATTTCTGGCCTTCACATTGCTCTTGCTAAAGTAAGGTGAAGAATTCATGTGATCAGATGAGCTCGAGTTTGACAGACTCTAAATTTGCCATAATTTGTGTGAATACAACAATTCTGTGGTAAATCCCTGGGGGTTTGGTGTCCTCAGCAACTCCTGTGACATTGTACACACTTTACCAGAATGGTAAAGAGAAATATTTTAGCACAATACCAAATTTGAGATGTGCTCTCAGCAGTCTTTACGCAAAGAACTGCAGATCTGGTTGCTTTTCATGAGAACCGAGTCTGTACATTGGGACTCCCCCTCTCTCACAAAAAAAAAAAATGAGTGGACTGAAGGTATTTGTGACTTCAAGCTCACTTCTTCACTCAGATGTTACAGTTAAACTGGTTGGGGTTTTTTCCATTTCTCAGATATTAACAATAGTGATGGTTTAAATTTAATTTTTAGCAGTTTGTACGTGAAAAGAAGAGGAAAAAGGAATTCCATTTCAACATCTTAAATTGACAGAGAGCAAAAGCTTTGCCCATAGAAAGGCTGACGTGTGTGAATAGGACACTGGTAGTGACAAGGGATCATTTCATGGCTCTGTGTATTGCCTATTTATGCGTTTCTAGTTTCTCAGCTTCATTTTGCAAAAGGAATATTATTAAAATCATCATGAAAATAAGATTTTTGTGAATTCTCTTCAATCGGGGGTCCCCGTTTTTACAGCACTTACACTCTTTGGGTTCTGGACCTCCAGGCCTCAGCTTTTGAACTGTTCCCTGGGCACCAGCCATGGATTGAATCCTGCAGAGCCCCCCAGCCTGAGCCAGAGCGTGGGATGGGCACGGTGGGATCCCCTGGGAGCAGAGTGGGGAAGGAGGAGGCTCGTGCTCCCCGGCTGCTGCAGGAACAGGACCCTCTGCCTCCCACCCAGGCCCTCGAGCACACGTTCCATGTTTTGGGACAGCCTCTCTTTTGGGGTGGCCTCTCCAGTCATTCACTCCCTACAACAGCCAGGAAACTTGTCCAGCTCTAGATCAGCAGCTTCTGCCCCCCAGGAGTAAAGCTGAGCTTGGCCTCACTGAGTCCGAGCTCTTCTGCACAGATCCCACTGAACCCTCCAGAACTGGTCCTTCCATCCAGGCCCCCAGTGTGGGGATCCACAGATGATGTGGAATTTTGAATGTGTGCAAGAAATCTCAAGTGTATCTTTTATTTATAAATCTTTTCCTTCCCCCCCCTTCACTTTGGAACTCCCAAAGCAACGATTCAATGAGGGTTTTGAAAGCAGCAAAGTTCTGTTTGAAAATACTTGAAAGGGTAGATAAGCTCTGCTAATCCATTTCCTGATCCTGTAGGCTGGGTGTTCATCACAGAACTGGGAAGGGTTTGCTCAGTGAAAGCAGTTTTTGGTGCCTCACTGTGTGTAACTTGTTCAGGAGCAAATTAAGGGGTTTGTGTTAATGAGTCACTGATCCTCGGAGCGTCTTCCCTGTGCCAGGTGCTGTGTGTGCAAGGGGTGGGAGTGATTTTACCTGGGGATTTGGAGCACAACTTACATCAGGAAAACTTGGAAAAGACAGTGCCAGGCCCTTGGTGTGATCCCAGTGCTCCAACGGGGGGGCAGGAGGGGTCTGGCCCTTGGTTTAACTCTGCTCTCGTTTAAAACACTCGTAAAAATTCATGTCTCAATTTCTGTTGTAAATGACCCTGAGGTTTAAGTTAATCCAAAGAAGTAAAAGGCAACTTGCTTTTGAAATAGGAGTGAAAAGTGCACAGTGTGGGCTTCTCAGTTACCTCAGAGGTGTCCATGTAATTCCTGGTGATTAGTGCTAATTCCACCAGCTGAGTGGGTTCAGGGTTTTTATTTAAATATGCCCTGAATAAGTGGCCTGGGGTGTAAGAAGGCAGAGTTATTATCCAAAAAAAAGGATGTTCCCCCTGAGTTCTGCAAACAGAAATGCTCAATTCAGTGGAGAGGCTGTTCCTCTGTGTGGGACGTCACCACTGCTGGTCCTTGTGGCACTTGACTGTCACACACTTTGTGCTGGCTCAGTGAAATGTTTTATAAACATTTCTGCAAGGCACTGGAGCTCAAGTCCTTAAAATGAGCCTAAATTTCTCTTTCATCACCTGGTTTGTTGGCTGACCTCGAAAGGTTTGGGTTGTGGCAGCAGTATTTTGAAGCTCTGTGTATGGTGTTGGCTTTTCCAGTTGGCTTTTCATTGTTTTTCTTAATCTCTTCCTTGGAAAAAAGCAATAAAAGTGCTTTGTCTGCTGCCTGTCAGCGTGACAGGAATCCTTTCCTTTGGGTAGTGATTTTATAGGGAAGTTTGTATGCATATCACCAAGCCTAGCTTTTAAAAACAGAGTGTGCAGCAGTTATTGACAGTATAGTGTGGCATTTTATTTTAAAAATCGGGGGAAGTTCCATGGTTTTTTTTAAGAAGTAGGTGTTTGAGCAAATAATGGAGGTACTTCTTTAAAATAAAAATGTTTATGCCACCGTTTGCATAGACATATTTCAGATGGAACATACAGATTGTATCTTTGGGTATGTGATTTATTTTATCTTCTCAAAGTGTAGGTAAAGAAACTCTTCCATCTACTTCCAGCTTGCTTGTGGGGATCCTACTTTCTATGCTTGCTAATGTATCAGGATTGAATTATCTTTCCAAAATCACAGTTAATTTGGGAATCTTTGTTATAAGTGAACTGTAAAATGTCTGAAATGCAGTTTTGGCCCTTTCTGTCGAGTGATCTCACAGCTTGAGGCTGCTGTCTTTAGGATTTATGGAATTTATGGAATTTCTCCAAGGAGAGGTACTGAAATACTTTGTAAGCTGGACTCGTTGCAGGATTCAGTCTGGAGTGACCTCCCCTGACACCTCTGCTGGCCTGCAGAGGGGGGGATTTTTAGGTTCAGAACACCATGACACATGTATATAATCCTATACAGATTTGTGCAGTTCAAAGCTTGTTTTCCATGTAAACGTACTCCTGGAAGGGTTAAATTCATGGCATTCTTGGATTCTTCAATGCTTCCAGTATTGGAACTGGTTCTTTTTTGCACATAGTAGACTTGGCTCATCTTTTGATATGATTCTTCAAAAAACCAAGTGCTGTTTCTGTGATATTGTATTATCTGAATCACCATATTTAACTTTTTTTTTAAAAAAGGTATCGTTTCTAATTGTTCTGTTCCTGTGGTTTTTGCTGGTGTGTAATTACAAAAATGAAATTTTTCTTTCCCTGGTTATTTAATACTTTAGCTGCCTGTAAATATCTCTTGTTAAGTGCTCTGGAATGTGCTGTAGAAGTTGTATTAGCTCAGTTTAAAGCATTGTTTGAGACCTATTTTGGTTTGGTTATTTCTATTAAATCTGAAAAATCACTCTTTCAATTTGAGTTTTCTTTTTTTGCACACCATTAGGTACAGATTCACATCTGGCAAAAGACTTTCCTAACACCTGCAGTGTGGAAAACAGGGTGAAAATCAGGCTGCAGGAGCTCAGATGTGCCCAGCTGGGGCTGTGGCATCCAGACAGAAAATGATTTGGCACCTTGGTGTGAAACACGGGGGTTTGAGGGTTTCTCAGTTTTTTTAGTGCTGCTGCTCATCCTGAAATGAGCAGGAGGGGACAGTTCAAGGTGTACAGCTCAAAGGGCTGCAGTTGTGGGGATGGGGTGGGATGGGATGGGGTGGGATGGGATGAGATGCTTCCCAACAGAGCTGACAACGCTTCTGGGGGTGGTTTTGAGGGGTTGTTGCCCATGACCCTGCCCCAGTAAACACCAGGAGAATGAAGAGGGAGCTGACCTGGGCTGCTGAGTGACCCGTTGGGGTGACACCTCCCCTGCCCTCTCTGTCACACCCTGCTCTGCACGTGGTTCCTTGTTCTCCCTGTTGGAGATGGGGCTGTGGTGAAGGCATGGCCAGGGGCACTGGGTCCTTTTGCTTAATAAAGGTGTGTTTTGGTGTGTCAGGGACCACCATGGACCAACACCATGTGTGGGTGATTCCAACTCCAGGGCACAACCCCTGGGTCCAACTGCACTGGAAGGGAGGAGGAGGAAGAGGAGGAGGAGGAGGAAGAGGAGAAGGAGAAGACTGCTCCTGCACCCTCTGTACTTTTTGCATGTAGTGAAAAAGCTGCACACGTGCAGTGCTGTTGGGTTCCTCCACCTTGGAACTGCAGTTTGGGGTGTGTGCTTTGAGCTGCTCCCTGCCACTGATAAATCCCTTTTCTTGTGTGGATGTCACTACTGGAGGAGTCTCCTGACTTACCAGAACTAAAAGCAGAATTGAGCCCACAGATCTTGGGCTGTGGCCCTGTTCAACTGCAGCTCAGCAATTGGAAGTAGGAACTTGTCTGGTTTAAGGAGTCATGACATGACTGCAGCTCCCCCAGGCACCAGCATCACTTGTGCTCCAGCTGACCATGCAGACCTGCAAGAAGAGAGTAGTGTGAGCTTCACCTAAGCTAAAATTACCTCTGAATGATTTTTTTGCAACCAATGACAGGCCTGGTAACCTGGAATGCCAACCAGCTTGGGGGTGTGTCTGTGCTTCCATAACCTGTGCAGCTGGTGAAGGCTCTGATCCAAGCAGGTCTGTTCTGTATCAGCATTTCCCTCCAGGCTGTAGCTCAGAACTAACTTGCATTTTTTTCTCACTGTTTGTTTATTCTGAGTGCTTCTGGTGGGTCAGTGTCACAGGAGCTCCACGATGAGAGAGCTGTGTTCTAGAAGAGGTTCAGTTGCCTTCACCAAAGCACAGACCTGTTCCTCCTGAACAAAGAACACCCACATTCCCACCAGGCACTCGGGTGGCCTCTCCAGCCTCTGCAACCACCAGCAAAGGAACAGGTGATTTGAAACCAAACCCTTGCACTTCAAGTGGGTTTTGCTGCCAGACCAAACAGTGGCAGCAGGAGGTGGTGCTGGCTCTGCATGTGCTGGCTGTGAACGGGTGGCTGGATGCCCTGCTCACCCTCCCGACCCCTCCGGAGCGGGACCGGGGGCTCTGCTGGCAGAGGAGGAGCAGTGGGGAGTTCTCAGAGGGCTGTTTTGTTTCTCTTTGCCAGCTGCTGCCTCGCTGTGTCCAGAGCACTCCCAGTCCATCTGCTCCAGCTCTGCCAGCCCATCTGCTCTGGCTCTTTTGGTGAGTTGGCCCTTGTGGCTGGACTGGCATCTGTTGCTTTCAGCTCCTCTCTTTGACTCCACTCAGCCCCTGGATTCCCTCTGTAGGCTTGCCTGGCTTTTTTTTCCTTTACCATCCAGGTTTTAATTCTTCTGCCTTGCTCCAGTGACACTGAGCTCTTCACCCCATCACTCAGTGCTGCAATGCAGTTGCCAATTTTTATTTCCCCTCCAGGGGAGCATATCTGAATTTCCTCTTCCCATCCCAAAATTCTACCAAGAGTCAGAAACTGCTGCTAAACTGTTCAACCCTTGCTGCCATTGTAGAATTCACATCTACTATAGAATCCCAGCGTGGTTTGTGTTGGAAGGGACCTTAAAGATCATGTCGTTCCACCCCCTGCCATGGGCAGGGACACCTTCCAGTATCCCAGGTTGCTCCAAGCCCTGTCCAACCTGGCCTTGGACACTTCTAGGGATGTGGATATCTCTGTAGACACGTATATGATTTTGGAGTCAGTGCCATTTTTCTCTGAGGGTTGAGATGGTGAGCCTGGATCTCCAGAGCCTTCTTTCTCCTTATTAATTTCCTTCACCCTCTGAGCTCTCTGGGTCACTGAGCAGGCTCACAGGGGCTGAACTGCATCCCATCCCATTCCCCTGTCCTTTCCTCCATGTTAGTGGAGCAAACTGTGCAGAATGGAGCACTGAACACTGAGTAAATTGCTCTTTGCCAAATTACCTTCCAATGCTTTCCACGGGCTGGCACTTCAGCAAAGTGCTGGGTGATCTCCATGGTGGGTTAATGCTTGGGAACTAGGATAATGTTTGCTAAACTAGCAGGGACTAAAAACAGGGATTATAAACTCCTGCTCCTCTCGTTAACACATCAGAGATGAGCACGTTTAGCACAGAACTTTAGTGAGCAGATCAAACAAGACTCACAGAGCACTGGGTCACCTCAGCTGAGGGTGCTGGTGCCTGGGGGACTCCTCACCAAGGACCTGGCAGGGTGTTCAGGGGTGATTCTGCTGCTTTGTCCTGACACTGAGGCTCGTCTTCCATCCCTGGAAGTGTTCAAGGCCGGGCTGGATGGGGCTTGGAGCACCCTGGTCTGGTGGAAGCTGTCCCTGCCCTGAGGGACCAGACCCACCTGCATGACCAGAGGCCACTGAGCTGGGCTGGATGCAGCCACCCCAACTGAACCTGCCCAGCACCTGGCTTGGTGAGAGTATCTTTATTTTTTTATCTTGTATATCAGAGATAACCACAAAAGCCTTTTGTGGCAGAAGAAGTGTTTGGAAATCGTGTCTTTTGAGGATTTCACTGCCGGGAATATGGGGCTGGGATGTGCCTTTAGGCTGTGCCAGAGCTGTGGGATCTGTGTGGCACTGTGTGTCTGCTTCAGATCACTTTCCTCTCAGGAAACAGTGAGCTCTGAAAGTGGCTTCTGGAGCCCCCATTCTTTTGGAATTGTGTTTGGAGCTGTGTTCAGTCACAGGCTGCAGAACCATGATCTGTGCCCTGGATCTCACAGGGGTTTGGCTGTTGACTGCAGAGTGAGGTGCAAAACTCCAAACTGAATAATCTGTTTCCTCTTGGAACTTGTCTGTGTCTCCAGGCAATCCCAAATGTAAGTTCTTTATCTCTGCTGGCCCAGATGTTTCCAAAGGAAGGAGATGCTGCAGCAGCAAGTCCCGGCAGGATGGTGCAGGGACTGTGCTCAGGATGAATTCTGTGTTCTAAATGAAGACAGATTATCTGCCCACCTGAGGTTTAATCAGCTCAAGACCACGGGGAAGGTGCAGGTAATTCAGAGCTGTGTTGGGAAGCAGGGAGTGCTCTGGATAAGCAGCCTTCTGCCTTGGACACACACCCTGTGGAAAAGGGGGGATCCCAGCGTGTAAGTTGTGCATCATTCTGCCAAGAATTTGTGAATTAACTGTTCATTCCTTAAAATCTCTTACATGGATCGTGTCACCAGATGGTGCTCTTAACCCAGCCCTCTGCATGCTGGGCTCTGAGGGAACGAGTTTTGTCTTGGGAAGAAACTCATGGCTTTGAGTTCTGCAGGTGGGAGAGGGACCTGCTGAGGACACGTCTCCTCATGGGTGCAGTGCTGGGCTCAGGGAAAGCTGGGAAAATGTTTTCATTCTTAACGAGCTCCTGTGACATTTCAGCTCTTTTTTTGTCTATAAGATGGAAAGAAATGCTGAGCCATATTAGCCTCGTTTTGCTGCTGGATTGGTTTTATACACAAAGATTTTGTTCAATGCACCAGAAAAGAGGTAATCCAAGGCTTTATTTTGTTCAAATCATAGTCCAGAGCCAGCTGTTACAGGGAGCAAAACCGGGGAGGGGGGGGTTGGTTGCAAATACAATAGTGAGGGAAAGGCAGGAGGGGAGGGATGATGTGAAAGTGGAGACCTCCTGGCCAGGCTGTGGGTGCCTGGTTGTTCCACCAGAAATGAGGATCAGCTGTGGAACAGGCACAGACAAGTGGGGAACAAACAGAAAATGTGGGATGTAAAACAGAGCTCTCTGTGCCATGGATTTATAACCACTTTGGGCTCACAGAATGGTTTGGGTTGGAAGGGACCTTACACATGAAATCAGGTGGAGATCACCAGCTGCAGTGGCAGCCCATGGAATGCATTGGAAGGCAATTTGGGAAAGAGCAGTTTACTGAGCACTAAGTGCTTTGTTCTGCATGATCTGTGGTTCCTTACACCCTGGGGCCAGTGTCCATGTTTGAGTGGAATGTGGTGACCTGGGGGCTTCAATCTCATCCGTTTCTTTCTCCATCTCAGCCTTGACAGAGCCCTGTGGTTCCTGAACCTTGCACAGGAAAAGCTGGAAATGCTGGACACAGCTGGAAGCAGCAGCAGCAGCAAGGATCCCCTGCCTCCTGCCCTGGGAAGCTCCATGAGCTCACATCCCCAGCCTGTGACCTGCCTCCTCTGCCCCCTCTTCATCACTGTGACTGCAAGGCATGGGTGGGCTGCTGGAGCTTTCAGCAAGTGTCTGTGGAGGTCACCAGCTTTGTTCCCCTGCCTCTGGCAATTATAAATGGACCATTTATTCATTAAAATCTGTTGCATGGAACATGTCAGCGGATAGTGCCAAAAAGGAGCACCAAGGAACTTCTCATTTGAGAACTTCTCCTGGGCTTCTTGTTTGAGCCCCGGGTGCACTGCTGAGACCTGCCCAGGTAGGAGATGTGACTCCTCAGTCACCTTCTG